AATGATTTTGAATTCTGAATTAGGCTTGGTATTTCATAGAATAGAAATAAGTTCTTTAGGTTACCTTAAAGTCGCCAGGAAGGCTGATGATAATTTTCTTATTCGGTACTTCAGGAGCACTGAAGCTGCATGAGCTTAAAGGTCGTTTCAAACCACATCTAAAAGAGCAATGACATTGTGAAACAAAGGTCGCAAGCTTATGAGAAGCTCTTGCTGTCCGATTCCGCATAAATCAGTCAAGAACTTTAGATACAAAAGTATCCTTGTCATTTGTGTAATGAAAAATGAGAAAAAGTAATGGCTAATCTTTCTTAAATAATGTTTTGAACCGATTCTTTTTCATAATTTTCGCTTAGCAAATTTGCAATTAGAATTCAAAACACGTGACTTTTGATACTTACGTTATTTGCGCTCCTCGCGACATCTTCAATTTTAAAAATCGTGAGTTTTAACGGTTGTCAAATATTTCGTACTTTCTTTCAACAACGTTTGTGAAAAGTGATGGGTTGTCCTGGTGATTGCTTTTATTTGTATCATTCGTCATCTGACGTGAAATTCTCCATTGTTACGCACTGGAACTGCACTTTGCGCGCGCTATACAGCGCGCGCAGGCAATAATCCGTTGGTTACCAGCCTTGATGATCCGCGCGACCAACATTTGTTATATATGTTATATATGCCAAATTTCTATGTTAGCCTGCATCTAAAATAACTACATTTCTCAAAATAAATGGTAATCGCCATTCTTGTTAAATAGAATAATGAATAATATGCACACTTGGGTTTTGCTACGTTCATATATCCGTGGATATCCGTGCGTTTGTTTGATATGAAATTGTTGACATGAAATTGTTGATTTGAAACTGTTGAATTTAAAAGTTGAATGCGTAAACAATAGGGAATCTTAACTCTTATCTGAATATTCATAGGAATTTTTTCTCTTTCACGAAAATCAATGCTTTTCAAATTGTTTCCCTGATATTGGGATGCCTGTGTTTTGAACGAGGGTGGAACTGGGACGAGGAGATTCAAGATGGCGGCGGCCAAGACAAAATGAAAAGAACAAGTTCAATACAATTTTATTCGAAATGGAGAGCAGGAAAAGAAAAAAGGGTTGTCCTAAAAGACTCTCTGTTCAGAGGCAAAATGAATTAGCTTGGAGTTTAACAGATTTGTCCYTGAAAGCACRTCTAGAAGAGAATTCTGACTTGAAAGTTTCCCGCGAAGAATCATTGCTTGATTTTCCTGAGGCAAACCCGTCCAGTTCAGCCTCCGTAACAAAGCCAAAACGCAAGAGAACAAAACAATCAATTGAGCACAAAGACCATAGTAATCTGTTTATAAAGACTTCTTTTCCGAGCTCGTGGCATTGTGTGCTAGGATCATTTACTATCGTTTTGACTGATAATGGAGATCCCACCACTCGTGAACACAAASCGTSTCGTATTACTTTTGACCTGGACACACTTCTCAACAAAGATATGCAGAGTAATGGAGACAKTGYTTTCCTGCCTCATAAATTACGGGATTTATCCATGGAAGGACGACCAATTATCCCCAACTATTTMATTGATGCTTTAGAATATTTGCAGAATAAAAATGTGTTGTTTTTCGTTTTATCGACCAGTACATCCATCTTTGATACCAGTTGGGATGTCATGGTTTGTTTGTACGAATCTGCTTTGACAAACTTGAAATTTGCAAGTGAGGAGACAACACTAAGAAGGACTGATAAAATGATGCAACTTGTTATGGAGCACTTTTAYCACAAGCCAGTAACAATCCAGGAAACAWGYACTGATCAGATGAWAGACAGTGGMTTTGATGATCTTTATAAGGCTGTCATGGTAAAAAAGATGRACAATCAATGTAAAAATGAAATCTCCAAGGAGACAAGTGACTCTAAATGCTTTCAACATCCTGATTTGAAGCCCACTCTAAGAGGATATCAAAGACGTGCTGTGAAGTGGATGATTGCAAAAGAAAAAGGTGTCAAATCACAACACAATTCAAAAGGTTAGCAAAGTCTGGTT